CATCACTGACTGACTCCTCAGAACTCAAGCCACACGCATCATGCTAATACCAGCTTGCAATTTACAGGGAACCATGCCCAAGCCCTTGCTCTCGCCGCCTCCACCCTCGATGTCCCCGCTTACATCATTATGCCCAGCATCAGCACACCGTCGAAAATCGCGGGAACGCGCTCCCATGGTGCAGAGATTATCTTCAGTGGATCGACGAGTGTGGAGCGGGAGGCTGTCGTCGAAGAAGTGCAAGCAAGGACGGGGGCAATCCTGGTACCACCGTACGATGATTTCAACATTATCTGCGGGCAGGGAACAACGGCCCTAGAGATGGAGAAGCAGTACAAAAAGCTTGTTACAGAGAAGCCGCATCTGAGCGTCCACCAGGAACTTCCGGTGCTCGATGCTGTGATCACACCGGTCGGTGGCGGTGGTCTCAATGCTGGTGTTGCAACCTTCTTCTCTGATAAGACAACCAAGGTGTTTGGTGCCGAGCCTAGCTTCGAGGGTGCAGATGACTGCCGGCGCGGTCTTGCGGCCGGGGAACGCGTTCCAGCAGTGTCGACCTTGACGATTGCGGACGGACTGCGCACTCCTGTTGGCCTCTTGAATTGGGAGGTGATTGCAGATAAGAACAAGGTGGCTGGTGCTTTTGCCGTGACAGAGGAGCAGATCAAGGCCGCGATGAGGTTGGTTTTGGAACGTATGAAGGCTTTTGTTGAACCGAGTGCCGTCGTGGGGTTGGCGGTTTGTCTGTATAATGAGGAATTCCGACGTCTCGTGGAGAAGGAAGCTCCCAACGGTTGGGATGTGGGCATTGTCTTCAGCGGAGGCAACACGACTGTTGATGCAATTGCCAAGCTGTATGGCTGAGTGCTGTGCATGTATGAGAGCAGCGTCATCTGCACATTGCGTGGATACCCACTTAGAGAATTTACCCGAATTGCACTCCATCTCTACCCATCCGAAAGAAAAACATTCCTCCATCTAGTGCCTCAACACCCTCGAGCCATCTCCGCGGCCAGTCTTCACGTCCCCACATATTCACCCATCCAGAGAATCGGCCACGCATGAGTATCTCCTGCCGCTTGGCCGCATTCTCTTCAGCCTCCTGCAAGCCCATCGCAGCAGGAAAGGGCCGAACCGGATCACGCTGGACAACCACTCGTAATACAGGGAAAGTCCCCCACGGTGCTGGAAGAGCCGATCGGAACGACGGCCTCCGAAAGGCAGGCGCATCAGCAGGGTTATAAAGGTCATATGGGCCAGAAGGTTGGTATCCATGTGAACGACGGCTTGGTGTTGTTTGTGGGGCAGCAGTAGTGGTAAAGACAACTGCACAGCTAAATACGCGCTGCAGTCGCTTCAACTCCCTCACTAAGTCCGTGTACATGTCGAAGAGGTAGAAGCTCTGTTTCTGGCGGCGATCGTGCTCAATTTCTGCAGCCGGACGCCCTATTTGTTCAACGCGAGTCATCTCGTCTTGTAACTTATCCTGCCAGTAGAAAGCATTGGCACTGTCCAGGATCAGCAGCCGGAGTGCTCGAGAGCTGGATGCATGGCGGGCGAGATCTAGGAGGTAAGTATCCAGCCGCTGGAGTGTGGCAAGAAGGGCCGACGAAGACTGGGGCTGGAAGACATGGACATGTTTCAAGCAAGACACGGCCATCCTCTCCATTTCCTCGTCAAGTCGACTCATATCCTGTGCTCCGCATTTGACCTTAACAATGCCGCGAAGGACGGAACGCAGCCGCTCGGCATTGAAGCGGCCATCGGTGTCCATGAAGACCACCGCCGAATCATGACCTCCTATCTTGAAGCCGTTAATCTCGGCCGGCAGAACAGCGAGAGCAGTGATATAGTATAGCAAATTAGTCTTTCCTGCTGCAGAAGACGTGCTAGATATCTCCAGGACGGGTTCTGCATGGCTCGTATAGGCAGGCACCGGGATACCGGCAGAATGAGTATTGGCAGTTCTCCCAGGTGGATCATGTGCAAGTTCATCGTCAGGATCATGCTCTGGGTCGAGCGGAAGTTCTTCCTGTGCAGTGTCTGCTCGAGACTGTCCTGACGGAACGGGTGCAGTAAAAATACCCACGAGTTTGTCGAGCTCGTCGACTCCAAAGCGAGTCTTCAGGGTATCCCTTCCGATACGTTCTTGGTATAGTTCTCTGAGACTATGCAAGAGCTATAGCGACCAGTCAGTTTGTGGAGATGGAGCGCGAAGCTTGACGTTGGGCATCACCACGCATCAAGATATGTATATGATGCAATACCGACCTCGTTCAGCCTCTCCTCATGCACTTCCGTCAGTAATCTTTCTCCAAAGCTAGCCGCCATATTTGACGCCCAAGCACCTGCAGTTACTCAAGGAGTTCCCAAGATCGTGTAGCATAGCATCTGGCTATTGTCCGTTCCGACCTGGGAAGGTGGTGAAATCAGTGACAGCAATCAGCAATCCACCAGCTCCGTCCGGCGGAAAGCCTTCCGCTCCCTTCACCTTTCCACTTTCCCAACTCTCCTCTCCGCCTCCTCCGCATTTCGCTTCCGAATACTCTACTATTATCCATGCGAATCAACCGTTGAATCAACCGAGGCGCAAATCCAATATCACACCCATCCAGCTCTGCGGATTCTGACATCATCGCACCAATTCGATCAAGGTTCTCCTACCACACCCACCTCAAAGACAATGGCACCCCTCGTCCCCGTCTTTCACGCCGAAACCCTCCCCGAGCACGTCAACATTTCGACCAAGAACTTCCAAGAGAAGCGTCGCAAGGGCGGCCCCGTCGAGCTGGAGAAATGCCAGCTGCTGGAGATGGTACAATACTCGTGTAATCCTCCTCAGGGCGGGATCCCCAAGCCTGGTGTCATCGTTTGTCAACCGGTTGTGCGCCTGTTTCGAAGGTAAGATTTTTGCTTTTCTGTCTCTCTCTTCCTTTTCTTGATTGCAGACGCCCTAAACGGCCAGTGCTGCTTCTTTCACCATCGCTGCTGAGATTTCTGACGCTACTTTACCACACAAGATGCGCCGGAGGATTGACCGTGGAGACGACCGCATGGGAACCGATAAGACTTCAGAAGGAGGAAGAAGAGCGGAAACGGGGCGCCGCTGCAGAGCAGGCCGTGAAGGCATGAAACGTACGATGAACATTGGGTTACATTTGCTAGCATTATACGCGGTGTTGGAGTGTGGGAATTATGGCGTTACTTGGGTGAAAGATCATGTTGGTGGTCACTGATTAGCCAGACATCTTGAATTTGATTCTAAAACTCTACTCCATGGGTATCTTCACTGTCATCATGCAAGGGTTAAAAAAAGAGAAGGAAAACAAGGTGAAACGCCCCCATGACGCCCGTGCATGCTGCCATTGCACATCCACCCATCATATACAACCACGCCCATCGCCTCCCCATCAGGTGCTCACCCAGCTGTCCACCCGGGAAGCTCTATCATGGGCCTCCTTCTTCACGCCAGATTGCGTATCCTCTGCTGCTCTCCGCGCACCCGACGACGGCACTCGCCGCCAAAACTCCCGCTCGCAATTGATGATAGGTGGCAGCTCAATGCTTAACGCGAGCTTGGACCGAGCCGGCTTGACCTCCGTATCCAGCCCTGCTCCTGAATCGATTTCCATGGGCGCCGCCGCACCCGGCACCGTGGCGGTCCGCTGCATCCGTTTCGCCAGCCCCTTCACAGTCTTCTCAAACATACTATCCATCGTCTCTGCACGCCGGCCCCAGGGTTTCTTCTCGCGTGCCGAGGACCCAAACTGGTTGTCCTTGAAGGCCGCCCGCGCCAGCTTGCGCAGAGCCTCCTCTCCGTGCCGGCCATCCTCAGTAGCGCGTTCGCGAATCTTCCGAGCGTCCTGCTCGCGTTCTGTGAAGACTGCCGTATGGCGGTAGGTGTGTTTGCTGGGGAAGGCGGGGAAGTGTTTCGGGATGTAGGGGCTTCGGACGCGGTCGTCCTCGCCACTGAGCTGTGGCCCAAAGGATGGGAGGGTCTTGAAGGAGTCTTCTTCTGGCGGGGGGGTGGGCTGAGGGGTCGGGATGGGGTCAAGGTTGGGATGAGGTTGGACGTGTGGGAGGAGGTCGGTGTACGGGACAGAGTGACGGCGTAAGGCGTCGTCAAAATCATGAGGAATGGGCTGAGTGCGTCGGCTCGATAGCATGGATTGTCGCACGTAGGATGCGACGCTTAAGATATCTAAATGCGGGCCTCTGTGTCAACATCGTGTCGCGGATTCTGGTTTTGCACTTTATCCAGCAAGACCAGGAGCAATGCACACATACATTCTTCAGTCACCCTGCGAAAGGCGTCCAGCGCGGCAGGGTCTGCGAGTTCGAACCCGCATGTTCGTAAATATTGACTGATGGACCGGTTTAGAAGCTGGTCAACGCAAGCATCGTCGACGATGGCGGGTTCAAGTAGAGCTGGGTTAACGGGGCTCTGCAGGCGGTGATGGTGGTGGTAGTGACGCTTGACGCGCTTTGCGCCAGGAGGATTCAGTCCATCTTCAGGCGAGGAGGAAGAGGCGGAGCGCTTGATGGTTGGTTCTGACTCGACCATGGCGCCGTTGGGATGGTCATGATGGAGAGAGCTGAGGAAGCAGAGAAGCCGGGCGGGAAACACGCCCGCCGCAACTAGCGATCACGTGCACGGCATCTGCACAGAACGTGACACCTGAAGCAGAAACAATCACTGTCACCTTAGACCACCCTCACCCAGCTGTGATTGAGCGTTCATTTTGTGCATACTGCCAGTATGTCAGCCAAGTAGAACAAGCTTTGAGTTCTGGCATCAAATATTCACACAATGTAGTACTTTTCACTTGTATCTTAATCATGTGGTAGTACTGAGGATTTCTCTAGATCAACCCAACCGTCAGGCCACTCACAGCGGTCGCTTACTACACCCCGGCCCGGGAAAGCTTCACCTCCAACTTCCGACTTTCACTTCGACATCACCGCTGCTACTTTCTTCTCCTCCACTTCCCCACCACCACCACCTCCTCCAGATCTCCGGGTACAATTGCATCCAATTGATCACAATGGCTGCCACCATCCGTCCTATCACCGGCGTATGTGTTTCCCTTGCTCCCAATCTCAATTCCAATCAGCCAACCATCAGAACCCGATCATCCCACCCCCCATGCCATGATGCCATGCCATGCCATGCCAATGGCACAGCCTCTGCATCACGCTTTCCGCAAGATCTCCAGAACTAACAGCTTTTAAACGAACAGATGCTCCGCCGCACTCTGGTCCTCGACCTGAGCACCGCCTTCGGTGAGTCCTCATTACGCCTGCCTGCCTGCCTGCCGCGAGTCAGCCTGTCAATCGCACGTTCGAATTTCGCGCAGCAACCTCATGATCCAGCCCATTGCCCACACACCCCATCCTGAAATGCCCACACGGCCTGCGCTTGAAGGTCTCACCATTGCCTTCATCCCACCGCGCCGGTCCCCGGCCCCGTCCATCCTGATCCGCGCAAACCCAAGCCAATTATACAACCCCTAGGAAACCCAAAACTGACCACCAATCTTTCAAATACAGGCTTCGGCACCACCTTCGGCTACCTCTGGTGGTACGGTACGTACAATCGCTTCCTCTGAACTCACCCCAATGCAGTGCCATGCCCATCCGCAAGCTGTCAAAGCTAACAACCCAAATCCAGGCTACCACCTTCCCCGCGTCCGCGCCCGTGACAACTACTACACCCGCCTGGAGGCCGAGCGCGCCGCCCAGCAGGCCTAGATCGACTTGTGATTCGTGTTCCGGGTACTGGCACAGTCGAGCCGTGTGGTACCGTGTTGAATTAGTCTCAATCAAGCATTTATCTCTCTTGTCTATTTAGTCCAATCTCGATTGGAGCCGATCTGGCTCCGTTCTGTATCTGTACCTGTACCATTATCTTCCACTGTACGGGTCACTGTCCGGTTGTGTCGGTCTTGCTGGGTTTATGATAAGATGAGTACACCGAACTTGAGTAGCCAAATCCATAGGCTGCTGGTTTGAGAGTTGCACAATGATCTCTGAGGCTTTTCGAGACCAGGCGAGGATTGACTTCACCTTACATGTATCAACCAACTCGAAGAACAAAAAGACACGGGCTAGATCATCTCTTTCATAGCAGTAACAGTATCAACAGCAGCGGAAGTATAAGCAGAAACAGGAGCAGGGAATCTATCCAGTCGCTAATAAATAATTCAAATGAACAAATGCAATCATCACACCTTCTTACCCTTCGCGTCACCCTCCACCCTCACAGCCAGATAGAACCACCCCAGCACACCAATCACCCACAACCTCAATCCCCATGCATGCTCCCCTTCCCCCCAAAAAAGGAACTCTCCTAACGGAGGACATCATCGAACTTCACTCCCCGGACCATACCTCCCTGCATCGCCCCTCTGACATTCCTCTTGAACCCCTCCCGGTTGCCCCTCAAATCCTCCGCCGCATCCTTGTTGAGTGGATCCGAGGCATTCGGCTCGAGGAACAAAAACTGCAGCCCGACAATCACCGCATTCAGGTTCAGGACCGGCTTCCAATCCTCCCGCAGAATGTTCAAGCACACATTGCCCTCCAGGTCGATATTCGGGTGGTAGATCTTTTGCGTACATTTCACCTTCGGCGGGTCGTGCGGGAAGTTCTGGTTCACGCTGAAGCTGAAATGGAAGTGGCCGCCCTTGTACATGCCTTCATCGGGGGAGATCACGAGAACGAAGTTGAGGATGTCATCGGGGTTCGGGAAGGTCATCTTCATGGTGGAGCCGAGGGTGAGTTCTTGCAGGTCTAGATTTTGTGGTTCGGATTCTGGATTAGTGGTCGTGGTGCCAAAGATGGGATGGGAGGGTTGGTAAGAGGACTGGGGAAGGGGACAAGGAGGGGAGGAGGGCTTTACCTCTCTGAACTCGCAACTGAGCAGCGGTGACCTTCTTCTTCTTCTTGCCGGCAGCTCCTTCGGCATTTTCAGCTTGTTGCTGTTGTTGCTTCTGCACCGAGTCAATCAGGATTAGTATGAGGTGGTATCATCCGAGGTGTAAAGAAGAGAAGACGGGGGCCATACCATCGACCATATTTTCAACATCTTGACGTCCTAAGTTCTCGACAACCACTCAGACTTTAAAGTGAGCTGATCCAGGTGAGATGGATGCGCAAGGGCGGGAGTATCAGAGCGAAATAAGCTTCAACTCTGGTGTCGTGGTGTAGGTCGGTAGGTCGAGTCCGAAGATGCAGAGGGGAAAGCTGCGGGGTCCTCCTCAGGTAAGCGATGAAAGAATTTGCCACAATCAGACAGAAAAGAAAGCGTCCTCTACAAGACACCAGACCCTGTCCTGAATGCAAAGAGCGAACTCACCAAGACAACGCCTATAACAATAAAATCCCTTCCAAACTTTCCCAGGCAGAGGCAGAAGCAGAGGCGGAGGCGGAGAGCGGAGGAGAGCGGCGGCCTGACGCCATCTCCTTCATTTTAGCGCTACTATCCCTTCTGTCCTCTCCTGCCGCCTTCAATCACCGCCTGCACTAGGCCAAATCCACGTAGACATCATCTCATGCTTATGCTCCAACAAGTAATACGGTACAGTAATCGTTTGATTCTAAACGCTAGGTATTGTCTACAAACATCGCCATGCCTGCAGTCGTTCGAAATGTGCAATCCAATCAAAAGAGAAAAGAAAAGCGAAAGAAAAACGAACCCACACAGCACTCACTCATTCTCACACAACGAGAAACAAGCATCATATGTAGAATACAAAATTGCAACAAAAATGTGCCAAGAATAACTCCGTGAGGTTCCTGCCTGCCATGCGTGCCGCAAGCCACCTCTCCTTGCCAGCTTTTTCATTAATACTCTTTCCTCTACCGCCGGGCAAAGCAGCACATCACTCCCGTCTTACCCAAGAACCAGCAGGCTCCGATGAAACGGAAGAGGGCCACAACGGCGTTCGACCACAACAGAGCCTGGAAGAAACGCGATGTCCGTGTGGTAGCAGAGTTCTGCAACAATAATGTCAGTGGCAAGTTCATCTCCCAGACGCAACAGACACAGATTACATACCGTGAAGCCAAACTTATCCACGCCGTCGCTAGTGATACAGACCGCAAGCAGCGCATTACTAAAGATCCAAAATGTCACCAGGCGGGTACGGAAGCTCTTGTATGAGTCATCCAAGCTCTTCTCCTCCTTCTCAACCGGCGGCACATAAGGCGTCAATGCCCGTTTCACAGTAGCCTCGAACTGACTGTCAATATCGGCCTGCGGCTTGTCGATTTCTTCAATCACGGCCTCCTTGCCATCGTTCTCCTTGGTCGTTTTGGCAGAAGGGAGTGCATCAGCCTTGTCCGAACCCTTGGTACCCCAGGACACATCGTGCCAATTGCTGAACGCGTAGACGTTGAGGATGTTGATGTACGACGACTGCACGGCCATATAGGCAGGGAACGAGGTGAACATGTGCCAGGGGTCCATATACATGAACGAAGCCACAAAGTACAGACCGAAAGTGGCAGCAAGGGCGATGATGATAATACCGGCACCCGTGGAACCAAAGAACGACCCAAGAAAAGCTCCCACGCCGTGAGACGTATCGAAATCCATCGGAGCACTCCCGCTGAAAGCGCGGACGACCAGGTAGAGGGCGTCAACAACAACGTATAGCTGGATGATACCGAACACCACGAACGACGCAAGGTAGGAGAACTTGGAACCCTTCGGTCGGTTACCAAGGGCGAGAATGAACTGCAACAGCAAGAAACCGAGATATGCGTATTTGACAAGAGTGTTGATGATGGGTGTCGCCGTAGTACCGAAGGGGAAACCGGTGTTGCCGTTGCTTTGACTGGGGGTCCCGACAAGGTCCATGATGACGGACGTTGTAAGCCAGTACGAGGCTAAGAGGCACAAAGTCAGAATAGGAGGGTTAGAATAATGGAGGAACCCACTTACCCAAAGAGAACCAGGTCAAGATCGTCGAGAACACGTTATAAAGCATCTGAATGTGAAGGAAAAACATGCGAATGATGTTGTGTCCACTCTTGTACATGCGTCCGAAGTGCATCAAAGAGTAAATACCGGCGGCGAAAGAACCGTTCAACCAACGACGACGCTGAGAAATGAACTCCGGAGCACCTTCAGGCACATCGGTTTCGGCTTTCGAGGCCTTGACATAGGACAGGTGCCATTTAGAGCCTGCCTTGGCGACCAACTCGAAACACAGGATACGATCTTCGGCCAAGAACATGTTCTTTTTAAAAATGTTCATACCCTCGATACCCTTCTTACCCAGCTGCTTGGAAAGGGTGTGATCACCGTGGAAATATTGCTCAAGGGGACGACCCATGATTGCGCGGAATCTGTAAGCCGAGAAAGCACCGGGCAACACAGAGACATAGCCGAAGGAACTTTCCAGAGGCTTATCCAGAATATTACTGATCTTATACTCGAAGTTCTGGGCTGCGACCAGCGGGTTGATGAGGTTCTTCCAGCCCTTACCCAACATGGCGTGGATTTCACCGCAAGCGCCTCCCAAATCCTTGTCGTTATAGAAAGCCTCCCACAAGGCGAGAAGGGACTTGGGACCTGGCTTGGTACCGGCATCGAGCAGAATGCAGATCTCCGGGTTGAGGATGCGGCCGAAAGCGTTGAAGAGCCAACGATGCGAGTTGATTTTCTTGCTGTTCTTCTGCTTCAAGCAGAACATCATTTGCACAGGAGGGAGAGTGCTGGGACCATCATCGGTAGGCCGAATCAGCTGCTGGTTGGGAGTGACGGAAAGCTGCGTCGTATACTCGAACTGTGGACTATTAGCGCTGCCTGCGATTCTCTTCTCATAATGCACGTACGATGTGAGCCACCGTCTCCTTGCCATCAACGTCACGCTTCATGACACCATCTTGGTAGACACCGACCGTGGCCAGCACATCCAACACATCCTTGTCGCAAGGGTCGATACCGTCGAAGACCAATGCAACCACGATCTTCTGCCAGGCAGGGCCTCCCTTGTTCCAGAACTCCGATTTCTTCAGGTTCACAATATCCCGGATGTTCTGCATAACACCGTGCAAAGTACGGGCTGTGAGGGTCTTGTCTTCGTTGTAATAGGTGATGGCGATGAGCAATTCGGTGTGTCTGTTGTACATGGCGGGACGAAGATTGTAACCGTTGTGGAGGGTGAACTCGTTGGGATCACAAGTCGCCGCGGTATCTACAAATCCCGAACGTCTGTTTAGCTACCGAATAGCGCAGTAGTAAGGGCTGAGTTGCACTCACATCGCATATGCGTGAATTCCTCGCTACCACCCTCGAGGTCGTTTCTGTACTTGGCTTGGATGGCGTTCTGGATAGCGCTAGGAACGGGATAGTCCACACTCAAGACTGAGCCCTGCACCAGCTTGACCTTTCTAGTCGCATACCGGCGCAGATTGCCACCACCACCACCACCGCCCCCTCCGTTGGGGGCCTGGCGCTGGCGCCAGGCTTCTGTCGACGAAGTCTCACTGCGTGCATAGGGGGAAGCGACGCGACCAGGAACACCAAAGGCAGCAGCCGGGGTCTCTCCCGACTGTGCGGAGTACACAGAGGCACCGCCGCTGTAGGGGTCATGATAGGCGGCCTCTGGTGCATATGTTTCGGTCAAGCTATAACCCGAAGTTGGCCGCTGAGGAGACAGCCCACGCTGCTGCGGGTCGTCAAAGGGACCTGTGAACGGGCCTTGTTGGTTTGCTAACAACCCGTGGGATGCTTCCTCTTCGTA